CTTTCTTTCTTTCTTTCTTTCTTTCTTTCTTTCTTTCTTTCTTTCTTTCTCTTTCTTTCTTTCTTTCTTTCTTCCTTCCTTCCTTCCTTCCTTCCTTCCTTCCTTCCTTCCTTCCTTCCTTCCTTCCTTTCTTTCCCAACATCAGAACTTCTCCAGATGTTCTCTGGTCTTTTGTATTTAGTGACTAACTGAATACCCCTCATCACATTTTCTCACTTCCTGCCAATCATAGGGATGGATTTTCACCCGGACGATCAGTGGCTAACCCGATCCTTCCCAAGGCTGTCCTCAGAAACCATCAATGGTCACAAGTATGAACCGGTTGCCAAGCATCCAAATTTTGATCGCTCGATCAGGGAGATGCTACAAAGGTCATAAGTGTGGGAAAACATTCATAAGTCACCTTTTTCAGTGCCGTTGTAACTTGGAACTGTCCCTAGACAAAACATTGTATGTCGAGGACACCTCAATTCTCCTCCAACCCCAGAAGGCTCACCATTTTCCACTTAACAGATAACAGATAATCAGAGTTGGAAGGGACCTTGTAGGTCATCTAGTCCAACCCCCCCCCACCCAAGTGGGAGACCCCACACTGTTTCTGACAGAGGGCAGTCCAGTCTCTTCTTGAAAGCCTCCAGGGATGAAGCTCCCACAACTTCCGAGGGCAACTTCTGTTCCATGGGTTGGTTGCTCTCACTGTCAGAAAGTTTCTCCTTATTTCTAGGTTGAATCTCTCCTTGTTCAGTTTCCATCCATTGTTCCTTGTCTGGCCTTCGAGTGCTTTAGAAAATAGCTTGACCCCCTTCCTCCTCTCTGTGGCAGCCCCTCAAATATTGGAAGACTGCTATCCTGTCTCCCCTGGTCCTTCTCTTCCCTAGACTAGCCAGGCCCAGTTCCTGCAACCGTCCGTCGTATGTTTCAGCCTCCAGTCCCCCTCATCCTCCTGGTTGCTCTTCTCTGCACTTTTGCTAAAGCCTCAACATCTTTTTTATAATGTAGTGACCAAAACTGGATGCGGTACTCTAGGTGTGGCCTTACTAAGGCTTTACAGGGCGGTATTAGTAAAAAAAAAAAACCTTGATCTTGATTATATCCCTTGTCCAAATGATTCCAAAGTCCCTGGGTCGGCCTTTCCCACGTTGCAAGAAGTCAGTCCGTCCATCAAGTGGGAGAAATGACAAAACAACGGTTTTCTTCCCACACCCTGACAATTCTTCCCCCCACTTGGCCGAAAAGTGAGCCATTCAAACCCCTTGATGACTCACCTGCTTTTAAGAAGAGCCCCGTGGTCCTCTTTTCCTCCTCCTTCTTCTTCTTCTCCTCCTCCTCCTACCGACCCCTCCCGTCTTCATTCAAAACCTTCCTGTCCCACTGACCTCAATTCCACCTTCCTCCCAGGGGACCACCCAGAGCCCAGAAACACCAGAGCCCAGGGGAGGGGGGGGGAGACCTTTGGCACACACACACACACACACACACACACACACACACACACCTGTTCTTCCTTTGCAGCAGTGCTGGAGCTCAGTGCAAGGGAGGGGATTGTAGTTGGCTTCCCCCAAATTTGTGACAAGGGGGCAGGGGAGAGTCTTCCCCCACCCCCCTATCCCATCCCGTCACTTCCTGATGCTTCAGCGATTTCCCAGGATTTTGGGGTTATTTTATTTTTTATTTTTTTAACCGAGAAAGATTCATTATCTTTGCGGGAGGGAGGGAAGGAAAGAGGGTGAGATGGTTAAGGAGAGGTGCCAAAATTTGCTGCCGGGGAGGAGAGAGAGAGAGAGAGAGAGAGACGGGGGGGGTATAGCAACGTCACCAGAAGAGATTTCCTTATTGGGTCTCCCTAGCCTGCATCCTGAGTCCATATATGGGCATTTACGTCACTAGCCAGCCCGGCTTGGGAACTCCAGAAATGGAAGCACCGGGTTGCAACGGAAGATCCAAGGCAGATATAAAAAGCGGCTCTGCAGCTCCTGGATTCTTTGCTTACAAACAACAGGAGGCAGCGAAGCACCTGCGGAGCCCGGCCAGCCCAGGTGAGGCCGGCGGGCAAGGTAGTTGGCCGGCCAGGCAAGGCAGGACATCCCCCACCACCACCACCACGGGAGTGGGGACCCCGAGGTCCCCCCCTTTGGCCACGTGCACCCCTGGAAGTCGCCCTCTTTTAGCCCCGGTGTGGGGGGAAGCTGGAGCTCTGCAACGGAGGGGGCTCGGTTCCACCCACTTGCCTTCCTCCTCCTCCTCCTCCTCTTCTTCTTCTTCCTCCTCCTCTTCTATCGGGACATGTTGAACCTCATGGACTTCTCCCGCCAGGAAACCCCGAGACCCGAAGACGGACTGTTCCCCGAGCAAGGAGAACAGCTGCCGCCGCTCCTGAGCCAGCCCCCAAGGGAAGAAGCCCCCGATTATTTCGCAGGTAAGGAGAGGGGAGAATGGGGAAGAAGGCGAAGAGAGCAAGCGGCGAGCTCCTGTGAGATGAACCCCCCCCCCTACTTTCCTGTCTCTCTCTCTCTCTCTCTAGGCCAGGGGTGAGCAACCACGGAAGGGCCCCGGGTGCATTTGGGGGTGGAGGGACCTGAAGGAGAGGAAGCTGGGGGTGATGCAATGGTAGAATTGAGGGGTGTGGGTGTGGGACTCTTCAGGGGGGCTGGGGAGAGATCCCTTATTTTCTTTACTAAGCCCCCTTTGGATCTGAGGGGTGCCTTTGAGGGATGGCCATCTTAAAATGGCGGGAGTTTCTCCCACCTGTTTTCAGCAGCCATGACTGAGGGAACCTTGGCCAGTCTCAGGGTGATGGGATCTCAGCCCAGTCCCCTATATTTGGGGGGGACTGGGGGCCCCCTACCTTTGAAAGGTTTCAGATATAGTTGAATCCCCTCAACTAAAGTCACCTTGTTTGTTTTTTTTCCACCTGTTAATATCCACGCCAGGTTATCCCCATCGTCCATGAATTTCTCTTTAAAGGGGTAGCTTGTCAAAGATAACCAGGTGGTGTCCCACTGCTAAGATCACCTGAAAGGTCACCTGGAGGCTGGATGTTTGCAAAGAGAGGCAATAAAAGTCCTTTGAGTCAAACCAGGAGGGTTCCCAAGGTGTCATCTAGCTCAACCCGTTGCTGAGATTTTAGGTGCGTCTTTCCCAAACTTGCTAGCAAAGGGAGACAGGTTGGCTCGCCCCTCCACCATCCCTTCCACTTTTCAAGGATTTCATTTGGGGGAGGGCCACCCCTCCCTCCTCCTCATGATGACTTCGTTCCCAGGATGGGTTTTTTTTTCTTTTAATATAATGGCTCTTCAAATGCTCTATTTCTAGTCGATGAGTGGAAAGTTTATTTGCTTATGTGTTTGTATCTGGCCTTTATTATTTTTACAAACAACTCCAAGGGGTGAATGTAACTAATACTCCTCCTTCCTCCTGTTTTCCACACAACAACCGCCACCCTGCGAGGTGGATTTGGGCAGAGAGTGAAGGACTGGCCCAAAGTCACCCAATTGGCGTTCATGCCTAAGG